GTTTAGAACAATAATTATCAAGTGACAATCGGTATGACCCCGTATGAAGTATCGTACTGGAGGCCTTACAGATCGCCTATATGTTGGGTAGAGCCGGAGAAGAGTTTAATACTTGGGCCAGAGCTTATGAGACAGATTACTGAGGAAGTAATATTGACCAGAGATCGGATTCTAGCCGTTTAGAGTCAGCAAAAGAGCTATGCTAATAAGAGATGAAAACCCTTGGAGTTTCAGATTGAAGATTCGGTTAGGCTGAAGGTATCGCATGTGAAAGGTGCTTGGCAATTCGGAAGACAGAAAAAGCTTACGCCGAGATACATTGGACCGTATTAGATTTTGGAGAGCATTGAAGCTGTGTCATACAGACTAGATCTTCCAGTATCGATGTCTAGTATACACAATGCATTTCATGTTTCTATGCTTAGGAAGCACTTTCATGATGTAGAGCAGTAGCGAATGATGAACGTACTGAAGATTTAGCTTTAGAATGATCTGACTACGATTAAAATCCAAGTTTGTATGCTTGCTAGGGAAGACAAGAAATTTAGAAACAAGATGTTTTTCCTTTGTGGCAATTCAGTGAAACCGGAAAGGAGTTGAGGAGGTTCTTAGGAGCGCGAGGAGGGTATACATAGCGACTACCCACACCTGTTTGATCTAGTAAATTAAATTTTTGTATGACTTGTTTATGGCTTATGGTTGCATGTATGGCGATGTTTATACTTAACACTAAAATGAGAGTATTACCACTTATCTCCTAAGTATTTGGAACATATGGTATATATATGAGGGGTTCCTTGTTTGGATTTTTTGCTCAATGTACTTGTACTTGTTCTATTTAGTTAGGTGTTAAGTGGGGGTATTTACATTTTAGATGGTTAAGTGTAGACATATCGAGGATGATTTTCGAGAGCGCGAAGATATTATGCTGCGCGACTTCCTGCACCTATTAAGGAAGTGGGTTGATTTATGTGTGCGATTATTTGTGTGGTTATATTTAGATTTAACGCTAGAATGAGGATATTTCTGCTTAATTCTTAATCTTTTGGAACACATGGTATATATATGGGGGGTTCCTTGTTTGGATTTTTCGCCCGACGTACTAGATCCATTCGATTAAGGGTTGAGTGGGAATATAGTCATCCTGGATTGTTAAATATAAATATCCCTATATGCTTATCAAGAGTAAATATTCTGAGATGTTTATGTTTGCGGGTTAAATTAGACCCTCTACGTGCTTTTCTAGTATTATTTTTTGCTTAAGTATGATTTCTGAATTTCGAGGACGAAATTCTTTTAAGGGGGGAATAATGTAAAACCCCAAAAAATTTGAATATTTTATGATAAATAATAATAAATATGTTATATATTTATAAATAACATATTATAATGTTTGAGTATGCTAGAAATTGGTTTGAGATCAATTCAATGTATATATGTATATATATAAGAGCAAATGCACAATTCATGCTCGATGTATAAATCTGGAAATTTATAACTAGGGGAGATATTTTGTATTTTTATCATAGATATAGTTAGAATTTGGAATAACTTAAAAGATAAAAGTTGTAGGTATCTTCAAGATATTTCCAACAAGTCTTAGATCACCTCATTCTAAGGTCAGACGTAAAAGTTATGGCCAAAATACCGAAGGTTATTTTCCTAGTCAAATTAGGATTCCTGGTTCGGGTCAAACAGGTTTATTTCGGGTTTGCATATATATAAACATGTGTTTTCACGAAAATTAACATCCTTAAATCAGAGTTTCAAACCCTAGTAGCCCCTCTTCCTCTCTCTGAACCCCTAGCCCTAAAGTTGAGAATTTTGAGAGCTTTGTGAAGCAAATATCGACACGAGGGCGAGATCATCAACGTGTAGCAAGGGGAAAACGGCTTGGTTGTACTTTTTTTTGGTTGCTAGTTATTTCAGAGGCTTAGAACAACATCTAAGACATGATTATCTTCATCCAAACCCTTCCCCATAGTTAAATAACTAGTTAGATGTTTAATATGATGTTGAATATATGTTTTCATGCTTGAATCTTAACATGATGTGATAAAAGTAAAATTTTTGATGTTAAAACATAAACCAATACTAGATTAGTAATTTTTTCTTACTGTTTATGATAGTATCATGATCATGATCATTAGGATTTTTTTCATAATTTCATTTATATATGAGAAATTTAAGAGATGTACTAAATAAATATTTTCTGCAGAAAAATACAGCAATTGTATCATATTTAACTAAGATTTAAAAATAGAAAATAAACTCAAATTTAACCAAACCAGTGCCAAATTAAAGATATATGTATCTAGTTTCTAAAACAGAAGACAAATCTTAAAAATCATTTGTATAGAGAAAGATATGATCTTTTTACTAACAACATGTCCTGTAGAAAAACGGCTGCACATATATAATGTTTAACTAAAGATTTGGGATAACAAATGAACTCCAAAATGAACCAAACTTATGTCATCTGAATGATGTGTGAATCTAGTTTTCAAAACATAAGACTATTTGTAAAAATAGTTTTTCTAGAGAAAGATATGCTTGTTTTACTAACAGATATCATGTCTATTTTTCCTGCTCGTTTTGTGGAGCTGTGTTGCGCCGTTTTGAGGTGCGTTCGCGGAGTTTTGAGCCACTTGATGTTATACGTATAGTCATGAATATGTTATGTTATATATTTAAGAATCCCAAGGGAATTATGATGAACTTTGATTTGATCATATTTAAATTAGATATAGTTCATATACATGTTGGATGTTGTTGATGAGCACAGCTTAGTACTATATGGGATAGTGCGTCGACACACCAGATATATACGGTTTATACATGAGGTAACTATCATTGATGAGCGTAGCTCAGTATTATATGGGATAGTGCATCGATATGCCAGAGGTACAAAGATTTATATGAGGTGGATATCGTTAATGAGCTCAGTTCAGTACTACATGAGGTAGTGCGTCGATATTCCACATTTACAAGCCATTGAGTCGGATTTTAGGAGGCTTGATCTAGCCGTCCGTCCCGCACTAGGGTGCTATGAGGCTCGTGAGCTGTATTTCTAGGATGCCTATTTGGTAGTCCGTCCCGCACTCATGTTATGCACTGAGATCGCGATGAGACTAATGAGCCGTGTACACAGTTCAGGATACCTATAGGGTAGTCCGTCGCACTGAGACAATTACTTGATAGCCTAAGTATGATAGATGCCGATTATAAATACGACCTATTAGTGAACTATATAACTAAGATGCGTTACTTCTGAAAGTATACAAAATTATGTGTTGGTATTTTATTCTATCTCTCCAGTGATTGTGGAAGATATTATAAATACGATGTGTTGATATCTTATTTTTTTTACTGTCTTTTTTTTTCTTAGTTGGGATCAATGATTAGATATTCACAATTTGAGACTTATGGTATATATATGAGGGTTGCCTTGTTTGGATTATTTCGCTCGATGTACCAGTCTCGTGTTATGGATCTCTAATTATTGGTTTCATTAGATTGTTTATTCTTATTTCGGTATTAATATTTAGATGTTTATGATTCGGGACATATGGTATATACATGAGGGTTTCCTTGTTTGGATTATTTCGTTCGACGTACTATATCTCGTTTTATAGGTGTCTAAATATTAATTCCGCTAGATACGGGAAAAATGATATAGGTAGACTATGCTTAATAGATAGAGTCTCCACTCCATCCTAGCAGCCCTTCCCCTGGGGGCGGATGGGGGTAATGTTGCTGTAGCGCTCTGACGCTCTTGTTGTTGTTTCCTTTTCTTTTAAAAATACCCTTTTAGGTAGCTCGGAGTTTCGGAGAGCCGCAGGGTGATGGAGTTCTGGCATAGTCGCCGTCGCGTATTTTTACTTGTAGAGACTCCACTGTAGTTTTAAAATTTTATTCAGACTTAGAGTTTATTTCTATTTTGTAATGGCAATGAGCCTTAGTTTGACTTTCCATTTTGATTCATGTTGTGACATCGTATGTTATTGCAGACTCCAAATGTATTTCAGTTTATTTTCAGTTGAGACATGACCTTTATTTATGGGATATCATCTTCTTTATCATGTCTGTTATTGTCGTTCTACTTCTTTGCCTATTTTGTACCTACGCTTTTATTTTACCCCACTAGAGGATATTACTGTGATTGGTAAAACTTGTTGTTGCATAGTGTGGGTGCATGGCAGGTTTGACATCTCTGGGTTCACCTTGGACTACAGCCATGAGTGAAAACATGGGCGTCATAGCCCCGTTGTGGTGATCTTGAGAAGAGTGATTATCTCGCTGTTGCCGAGATAATTGCTTTGGTTTCTTAATTCCTTCACGAATCAATGAAGCTTCGGATCTGATCTGATCGTTTGGTGGTCCACGGATATCAACGTCCCCGTCACAGGCCAAGATCCCACGTAAGTAGCGGAAGATAAACATCTATTGCATTTGTTTGAAAGAAAGTTATAATTTTTGTTGAAAGCCTTATAAAAAGAATATTTCTTTGAGTTTATCGTAAACGTTTGAAGTTGTACTAAACTCATCAATGAAATCAATTTTCTTCCCAAACATCACCTGGTCTATCAAATCTAGCTGTGCAAGCAGTAAGTGAACATACACATCTCCAACAAGCTAACTCATCCACTTCGATTGTCAATGCATCTGGGTTTACTAGTGTTAATAGAGATAATCTAGCAAGGAGAGCTCCTATAGCTGATCTTGATTCTTCAGGTATTCACTTATCTCACTTTTCTCTTTTGGATGACCCTTCATGTGTTGACAGGGGTGGAAAATCTCTCTAATGAATCTTACTATTTGGAATATTAGAGGAGTTAATAAATCCTTTAAGCATATGATAGTAAAGCAGTTCATTCAAGAGTATCATGTCTCTTTGTTAGCCCTTCTGGAAACTAAACTTTCTGAAAATAAGTTGCAACGTTTGGCTACAAAAATTACAAAATGCTGGAAATGGATTTCTAATGTGCATGAAGCTAGCAATGGAAGAATATGGTTTCTCTGGGATAGTGATATCCTTACAGTTCAAAAATAATATCATCAGAGAATATATCACTTGCTCAATTGATTCCGGAGATGGTAGATTTTCCAGCTTGTGTACTATTGTATATGCTCTTAATCAAATGACTAGCAGAAGAATTCTTTGGAGAGATCTTTTGACATTTAAATACAATGTCAATGGTTCATGGATTATTGGTGGGGACTTCAATGCAATTACAAGCTATGATGAGAAGATAGGTGGTGTGCCAGTGTCTGATGCTGATATTGAGGATTTTCAAAGCTTCATCACCATAAGTCAATTGTTGCATATAAGATCGATTGGATGTTACTTTACATGGAATAATAAGCAAGATGTTGAAACTAGAATCTGGTCTAGATTGGATAGATGTTTGGTTAATGAGGATTGGATTCATCTATATACAACTAGTCAAGTGGAGTACCTATTGCCTAGCTGCTCTGATAATTCTCCTGCTCTGCTTATTATTGAAGATGATGATGATATTGAGGGTAAGGGACTATTTAAGTTCTTCAATATGTGGGTGAAACATCCAGATTTTATCTCAACAGTTAAATCAATTTGGGAGCAGAACATTGAAGGCTATAAAATGTACAGTTTTCACTCAAAACTCAAAAAGCTAAAGCATGCACTTAAAGAGTTGAATAAGAAGCACTTTATGAATATAAATGAACAAGTGCTTAGATCGAAGGATGATTTAGCTGATATTCAAAGGCTGCTAAGTGAGGATCTTTTCAATTTAGGTTTGATAGTAAGAGAAAAAGAATGCATCAAAAAATATGATAGGTTGCTAGACTGTGAATCCTCCTATAAACAAAAAGCCAATATAAGTTGGAGTCTGGAAAGGGATAAAGGATCTAAATTCTTTTATTCTATCATGAAAAAGAAAAGGCATCTCAACAGAATTCTGACACTCTATACTGAAAGTGGAACTAGAATCAGTGACAGATCTGGGATTATTACAAAAATTGTTGATTATTACAAAAAGCTACTAGGAAATTCTGTTTCTACAACATGAAAGCACCAATGCCACTAGGAAAGAACCCTAGAGGGGAGGGGGGTGAATAGGGTTTTTGCTAATCTAATCCGATTTAATGCCGAATAAAACTAATTGATAAGTTATCCTACCAAATAAGATACGCAATAAGTTATTAGCAAGGATAAGCAATATAAACAATGGTGAAACAAGATAAACAAAATATAGAATTGTGATAGGGCAATATAAACAATGCAAACACACAATATGATCATGGAGTTCGGACCTTCCATCCTATGTCTCTGCTCCCCACTCCCGGGGAGAAATCCACTATCACACAGGTTTTTAACGATCACCCGAAAACGTTTACACCTCACACTCGATTTTCTAGCTCACCGAAAACTTTACAATCACTTACAATGTAAACACACTAACTACCACCTCAAGTATTGGTCTCTAGCCCGTGTCTTCCTCAAGTGTTAGGAATTACAACCTCTCTCTAGGCATTACCACATACTCCACTCCTCTTGGGATGATCCTGTCTCTTATCACACACTCCTCTTGGTATACTAGTGTATTACAAAGTAAATCCTCACAATTAACGCTCACAAATCAAATGATTGTTCTCTAAACAAGGTGAGAACTCAATTAAGCACAATTCAATGTTACAATCTCTCACAACCCCAAATATACTATGAATGCAAATACAATAAGCTCAAGTGGGTGTGTGTAACAATGAGATTTAATAAATCAAAATCAAACTAAACTAAATATAAACTCTAGCTTAGAAAAATAATAATTAAACAATTATATATAAATGCAAAGCTAGATTGAGTTTAGAAAACTTCTCTATGGATAACAAGAGAGAGGGAGAAGAGTGAATGCTCAAACACCAAAGGATGATCTCCACTTGCTCTTGTGAAATTGTCTTCACAAACTGAAACTAGAAAAAATGCTTAAAAACTTTTTAAACAAAGTTAAACCAAACTTTAAACCCTTGTTAAACTTTCTTAAAACTTTCTCTTAGTTATTTTTGGTCTGAGGTATGAAGAGTATTTATAGAGACCCCAAAGACACAAGAAAAACAAAGCAAAAATACCAAAAACCCAAAACTGGAAAAGTTAAAAAAATTTAGCCGTTACAGCATTAATCGACTGACGACTTCCATCAGTCGACTGATGAGCTGAACGTTAGAGGCATTTTCCAGCTCGTCAGTCGACTGACGACCTCATCAGTCGACTGACGACCTCATCAGTCGACTGGTCAGTCGACCAAAATAAAATAGAAACTTTTTAATATTCTAGATGATTTCTTCAGTTGACACATCAGTCGACTGACGTCATTAGTCGACTTACCAGTCGACTGATAATAGGTTATCAGCCTGTTTTGAAACAGAAATCTGATTTCCAAACTGCCTTTAAAAATAGCAAATAAAATCAGAAAAATATAAAACTTTAAGAAATGATTGTAGACATGATAATACACATGCTACAAAAACTGGTTTTAAAAAATCACCTCCCATTTGTAAAATATCATCATTTTACAAAAATGTCCAAAAACATGAAACTAAACATACATGTTTTTGACATATTGATTTAAACAAACTTTTGAAAGTTTGTAAACTGATTTTATAGACTTATAAAATATGTATAAACTGATATTGAAGTCTATAAACTAATAAAATAATGTTTTCACAAAAACACCTATATTTTGATAAAATCAACAAATACGTGTGTGTGATTAATATGAGCTTAAAGTATTAACACACAAGTATAAACCTATACTACAAACACTATAAACTATATACCCAAGCTTGAAGGTCTTTAATATACTCTTCTTGATAAATTTGCGGATGAATCTTGAACTTGGATTTTCAACATGAATTGCATTGCTTCACTTCACTATTCCGCCAACCTTCATTGGATATGATCGTTGAGGCTCGATTCCATTCATCCTCCAACATAATTATTTGCCTAGAATAGATACAAAACACAAACACTAGACAAATAATATTAAATGTAAATTGTTTGTAAATCATCATCAAAACAAAAGGACCCAACAATCTCCCCCTTTTTGATGATGACAAATTATTTACAAAAAGAGATATATGCATGAAAGGAATTGAATATACAGATTATAATTATCATGCATATAAACAAAAAGAATACACTCACAATATTTCTTTCCCTTTGACAACATCAAAAAGGAAAAAACAAAAGAATGAAGAGAGCGAAAGCTTCCCCTGCAAATAAGCACGGTGAGTACAAAACAAATATAGGGATTGCTCCCCTTATCAAAATGCCTTATGGAATGTATGCAATAATGATCAAGGTAAATATATGTGAGCAAGCATATATGAAATCATGCTAGGCAAAACTCACATATCAAAAATACAATGAGAACACATGATGATATTTTATTATAAAATAGTGTGTCTCAACATAAGCCTAAAAATCATGTATAAAAATAGATTTATGAAATCAAAAGAAAGAAGAACATGAGTATCATGAAAAAAAAGTTTTCAAATGAAAACAAATCATTTAAAAGAGATCATAAATCACAAATAAATCACATAAAAAGTAAACTAATATAAAAATGGCAAGAGAAGGGACAATATCAAGCTCTTGAGCTTGTTCTAACCCATAGAAACATTTTTAGCACCCGGTAAACAAGATTTGGGAATAAACACCCAATAAACCAAGGGGGTTATAAACACAAACCTCTCATCAAAATCGAAACTAATAATCATTAAAACAAAAGAATTAATAAAGAAAAATTGTTTTCATATCCAAAAAAATTTTAAAACATAATTTTCAAAACCAAGACATAAAAAAATAAAAAAATAAAATAAAATTCTTGGTTTTAAAAAGATTTTGGCACCCAGGATTGGTTAGGGACATGACCCCTATCATTCAAGCTCAAAGCTCTGGGGTTATGAACCATCTTGGGCGCATGTGGTGCACGGACACGCTCATAACAAAAATTACTCAAATGACCCTTCCGATTGCAATAAGTATAATGGAAAGGAAGCATTTGCTTATGTTGACCAAACGGTTGTGCACGAGACTCATTTGCAAAAATAGATTTATCTTGGAAATTATTTTGCAAATGAGAAACTCTCCTCAAATCAAAACAAAATTTTGTCAAATGACCAAAACGACCACAAAACTCACATTTGTACACATGGGCATGTTTATGATGATCTATATGTGTGTGTACATGTGAATGTGATGATAAAGCTAAATGGGATGCACAAACATGATTAGGCTTGATGGGTTTTTGTGCATTATAACAAAATCTAGAAATGTGACCTTTACGATCGCAATTAGTGCATTTATAGACTTTGTTATACATGTGTGCATAGTTTGTCAGGATATTAAGCAGAGGGGTCTTGGGCTATTCTTTGCAAAATTTTGGAATTATGCAATGGCAGTTAAACTCCTGTGGACGATACACCTAAAAAAAGATATGCTCTAGATTAAATGGGTTCGTGGCAACTATTTGAGACAAGCTAACATCTGGCAAGTTCAACCTGAGAAGAGTGATTCATGATTGTGGAAGTAGTTACTAAAAGTGAGAAATATTTTGATTGATAAGCTCGGTAATGTGGGAAACTTACAGAATATCATCAATGGAAGCTGCATCAATGGCAAACTCAGTATATCATCAGCATATAGGAAAATTTTTTAGCAATCTGTTTTGGCTGAATGGTTAGGAACTATCTGGGGGGGGATGGCATTTTCCTAAGCATTCATTTATCCTTTGGTTGGCTTCTCTCTCCAGACTTTTAACATAAGAAAGGCTATGCAAAATGAGGATTTTGAGCTCTAATCAATGTATTTTGTGCTCAAGGGAAGGTCAAATTGGAACCTGTCAACATCTTTTCTTTGATTGCCTTTATTCTAAAGTGTATGGAATAAGGTAATGGATTGGTTGAGTTTCAACTGGAAGTCTTGCAGCTAGAACCAAGTAATTTGGTGGTATAGCAGGAACTTGAGGAGGAAAAGCTACAAAAAGAAGTTGAAAAGAATTGCCCTGTCTATATTAGTTTACATGATTTGGCAAGAGAGAAATCTTAGAATCTTTCAACAGAAATCAAGGGGGCCTTATCTTCTTTTTCGTTTGGTGAAGTTACATGTTTATACAAAAATTTTGAATGATAATATACCACAACATATGAAAGAGTATATAGAAAATTTATAATTTTTGAAGACTAGGTTATATAACCAGTCTCAGGAGTTTGTATCTTGATGTGCTCTAACTTTCCATATTTGGAAATGAAAATAAAAAATTTTCATTGACCAAAAAAATGTTTGTTCAACAATTATTGTCTCACATTGCTTTGCTTGAAATTTGTCTGCTAAAAGCTGGATTGTTCCTTTACAAATTCAAAAATAAGGAGGATATGAGTGATATTCTAGAAAGTGGTCCTTGGTTTTTTGGCTCCAGACCCTTATTACTGAAACCTTGGTCTATAGGGGAGGAAATTAAAAGAGCTAATGATTGTTCTTACCGTCTACTTGAACTAAGGTTCACTTATGGAATTCCAAGAGTATCAGTATAATATCTACTGCCATTGGTCACCCTATAGCCACAGACAAGCTTATAGCAAATAGGCAGTGTTTAGCTTATGCTCGGGTGGAAATTGAAGTCTAATTGCCTTCTTCTTTACCTAATCAAATTACTATACAAAGCCCCATTGGAATGCAATATAATCAAAAAGTTCTCTATGAATTGAAGCTTAGGTGGTGTGACAAATGTAAGCAAGTGGGACATGAAACTAAATACTGCAAGAAACACCCTGGAATACAAAGATGGGTACCTAGACAAAATGTTGCTGCTAAGAGACTAGAAATTCAGAAAGACAAAATAAATATAGAGTCTCAACAACAAGAACAAACCAGTAAAGTGGACAAAACAAATGCAAATTCCCTATCACAAAGTACACAAGCTGAAAGTAGTACTAATACTGAGGAACAGTCTGTTCATTTTGTGCATGTCAATAATGCTTTCATACAGTGTAAGCAGGAAGAAGGATTAAG